CCAGGGGTGATTTGGCTTCCCTGGACCTCAAGATTCTATCCAGTCAGCAGGACTTTGCCCACATGCCTTTGTGATTCATGAGCCACAACCCCAAGTCATACACAAGGCCATGTGCTGGTCCAGCTGAGGGGTGGCCACCATGCAGTCGGCATCTGGGCACCATCCATGGTTATAGCAAACCCAGCTGGGCCCATTCCTCCCATGCTGCTGCTTCAAATAGGGCCTCGCCACAGGGCCAGCCATTAGGTCAGCTCAGCTTCTTGGGCACTTCAATGGTCCAGACCCTGGACTGGGAGACTCCTGTAAACCACTGTTGTTAAACTTACTCAGTCAAGGAAACTGAGGCCCTGGGAGGTAAAAAGGCTTGCATAAGGCCACCCAGCTGGTGAGTGGCAGAGCCAGGGTTCTGAGTTCCCTAGCTCTGGACCCCACATTCTCTCACTTATACCACAGCTGCTTGTCATGTGGCAGAGCTGGAAAGTCCCCCAGGACTAGGTGAGCCACTGATGATGGGACCTGGGACAGACTGATGACCACAGTGGCTGTGAGGGAGGTGGAGAGTAGCAGGTGGTAGATGGAGCAGGAGAGGCAGCTACAGCGGAGTTATAATCCCTCTTGGAGTGTGTTGACCCCATAGGAGAAATCAGGCACAGATAGCCGTAGCCTGGGTTCACCTATGTGCGCATCTGCCTCACTGGCTGCCACACACCAGAGAGTCTGGCTGGAGTGAAAGAAGGACCAACAGTAGACCACCTGGACAGACCTGTGCTCAAAACCTGCCTCTTCCACTTCCCGGCTATGTGGCCATAGACAAGTGGTGTAACCATTCTCAACTTCAGTTTCTTCCTTTATAAAATCACAATAAAACCTCCCTGACAACAGCATTTTTCTTATGAATCAATCATCTGGGCAAAGCTCTTGGTTTAGAATCTGGCATACAGTAAGTGCTCAGTAAGCATTAGCTATCTTTTTCGTCACTTGACTGGTGGTGGCTCTCTCTTCAACTATAAAACGAGGGTAGCATGTGCTGCATAAGGTTATTATATAAGTTAAATAAAATATGCCTTCACTCATGCATCCCTTTGTCAGCCAGTGTTTACCAAGCAGCCCCTGTGTGCTTGATTCTAGATGCTGGAGATTGAGCTCCTGGAGCAAGATACATTTCCTGCCCTTGAGGCCTTAGGTCTGATGGGGAGTCAGAATTTGAAATACATGAATGAAGCAAACAAGTGTCTGAGTGCAGTTGTGGGGAGTGTCAACTACATGTAGGGCTCATGTTGTGCCTGGCACGGTACAAGTGGAAGGTGGTTATTCTTATGATTTCATTATAGTTTGGGCTTATGCATATCTCTGTTGTGGACTAATACAATACTAAAAGGATTTCTGTGGATTTGTGTGGTGTTAACTGTAGGAGACTTGCTGCTTGTGCTGTGGTTTTTGTTGTGGGAGTGAAAGGCTATTTATATGGAGGCTCTTTCTAGGCATTGCCTAGGCTCAAGGTCTCCCCATGCCAGCGGGGCCAGGAGGCTTCCTTTTGGGGGGTGCACAACCCAGTCCTCAGCAGGTATGGCCTTGGCTTACACTCCTGGGTCTTGAGGAGTAGGCAGGTGTGGGCATCTGCATGTTTTATAGAGGGAAATTATGAACTCTGTGGGCCTCAGTTCGCAGAGCACCATTCAGGGGTCCACCTCCAGGAACCCAAGAGGAGGGCCAGTATCCGGCACCTGTCCTCACAGTGCGGCATAAAGTGCACCTTTCATTTTGAGGGTGTTATTTGAGGAAAGGCAACTCCCTTTGTGTTTCTGATGACCAGTGGGTGGGAACATGGGTGCAGCAGCCTGATAGACCTGGGTTCAAATTCCATTACCCTTGCTGTGAGGCCTTGGGCAGGTTTCTTAATCTCTCTGAGCTGTAGCTTTTCCCCCCTACTTTCCAGCGTTGGTGGCAGGATCCCATGAGACAGGAGGGAAGTCTGTCTTGGAGTTGATCCCCAGAGAAGAAGTTTCCTTTCCCCCTGTCCTGCTCTCCAGTTTCTCTGCTCCTGGGCTGAGCTTTCACTCTGCCACTCTGAGCCAGCTGGGCCGAAGTCTGCACATTGCATCTGGAATAAAGCTGCCCTGTGTCCCACGTCCCTTCACTCCCTGCTCTGCACTAGAGGATGCTTTTTGTGTTGGTTGAGGCAGTAGTAGCATTTTCAGGATTGCCGTTGCTGACTCTTCAGGGTGGTAGCTGAGTTACATTTTTAAAAGGGGAGAAGAAAAACAAGGTGAAGAGAAAGAATAAATGTGTAGATTTCCTTGGAGCTTCTCTACAAGGGAAATTATTTCTAATTATTAAAATTCTGGGAACATGGTACTGCCAGAAAGAAAGGAAGTGGAAATGGCTCCTGTGAGAAGTATTAGCATATGTTTCTGTGATTTAACAGTTTCCCATAACAATATGCAGCTATTTTAAAAGCAGACGAATGACTCATGGTATCTAGCACCAGTGGTCGACTGCAACGGCAGGAAGTGTGCACTCTGGAGGGGCAGGCTTGCGTTCAACTCCTGTCTCTATCATTTACCAGCTGTATGACCTTGAGCAGGTTACACATCCTCTCTGAGTTTCCTTTTCCTCCTCTGTAAAATAGGTTGTTAGAAAGATAATTAAGAGGATGAACATATAACTCTTAGTACAGTGCTCATCTATCCATGCACAAACCCTCACAGCTTTCATAGAATTAACCAAGTTAATTCCAATGTTTGTAATAATTCTTAGTTGTTTAATAGTAAACTTTTAAGGCTATAAGTTTCCCCCTGATTACCACCTTGGTCAGAACCCATAAGTTTTGATGCATAGTATTCTCCTTGTCATTGTCTTCTAATAGACTCTTCAAACAGATTTTTTATTTTTTCTTCGAGCTATGAGTTAACATCAGTGTGTGTGTGTGCACATGTGTATGTTTTCAAGTGGTTAGATTTTTTTCTCTATATTTATAGTTAAATCCTAGATGTAGTAAGGTCAATGAAAATAGATAATATGGCATTTACTTTTTAGAACTCACTGAGGTTTCTTTATATAAATCAATTTTTGTAAGTACCCCATGGGTACCTGACAAGAACTATATTTTCATTTATAGAAAACCAAGCTTGTTGTTATTATTATTATTTTAAGACAGAGTCTTGCCCTGTTGCCCAGGCTGGAGTGCAGTGGCCCGATCTCAGCTCACTGCAGCCTCCGCCTCCTGGGCTCAAGTGACTCTCCTGCCTCATCCTCCTGAGTAGCTGGGATTACGGATGCCCCCCACCATACCTGGCTAATTTTGTATTTTTGGTAGAGATGGGGTTTCACCATGTTGGCCAGGCTGGTTTTGATCTCCTGACCTCAGGTGATCCACCCACCTCGGCCTCCCAAAGTGCTGGTATTACAGGCATGAGCCACCACGCTTGGCCCATATATATATATCTATGTTTCTGGCGCATATATATATATATATCTTTTTTTTTTTTTTTGAGACAAGAGTCTTGCTCTGTCGCCTTGGCTGGAGTGCAGTGGCACAATCTCAGCTCACTGCAGCCCCCACCTCCTGGGCTCAAGCAATCCTCTTGCTTCAGCCTCCCCAATAGCTGGGACTACAGGTGTGCACCACCATGCCCAGCTAATTTTTGTACTTGTGTAGAGACAGGGTTTTGCCATGTTGCCCAAGCTGGTCCCAAGCTCCTAGGCTCAAGCAATTCATTCACCTCGGCCTCCCAAAGTGCTGAGATTACAGGCATGAGCCACCATGCTCTGCCTCAAGCTTGTTAACTTTGTTACTATAATACTATATCATTGCATTCATGTGTGTGTGTGTATGTGTGTGTGTATGCTTATGTGTACACATACCATACTTAAGTGAATTCTGGAGAAGACATACCAAAGCCTCCCTCTATGGTTGTGTCTTTGCTGAACTCACTTTTTATTTCTAACATTTTTTTACTGTGTATAATTTGATGTGTTATTTCTTTATGCATAGAAATTTTTAACCATTAGATCTTCTCAGTCACCTGGGCTTTTGTTTTTAGAGCAAGCACTCCTCTTTGCTTTGCTTAGTGTTTTCTGCCTTAAATTCTATTTGTCATCACTTCTCCTGCCCAACTTTGCCAGTGTGGTGGGCACAATAGCAGTGCTCATGGAGGGTGGCTGAAAGGACATCCCATCCATGGCCCATGCACATCTCCAGGTGGCCTGGAGGATGGCCTTGCAGCTAGTCAGCCCACTGAGAGCTATGTGGTGGCTACATAGCCAGTGCCCCTTCCCCATCCCCAGACAGTCAGTTTGTCCTCACATCCCCCCAGCTTATCACTGGCCTGTGACGGATCTTATTAAGATCCTTTCAGGCACAGGTTTGATCTTCAAAAGCTGTGCAAACTAGATGTTACCATTTCTGTAACATAGCCATATTTTTATTTCACATCTTATTTTCTTATTAAGCACCCTTGGCCAAATTCTCTCTCTCGCTTTAGTTCTTTGTACTGAGAGCTGTTGCTTTTTAAATTTTTTCTTTTGTTTCTTAATTAATGTATGATAGGGTATGGGTATGGGAACAGACAGACAAATAGACAGACAGCTGGGTAAATAAAGAAAAAACTGAAATCAGCTCAAATGGGTGTTCTCCTGGACGTGGCACTTTAGACCTATTAAACTTCACCAGTTGGTGAGAAACACAAGTATTCATCCTTTTCATGTCCTGTTATTTTCTAGTTGGGTTACAGGTAAAAACCTTATTGCTGGAGAGTATTTGAACTGGAAATGCTAAAGTCTTGCCAGCATACATTTTGGCTGTTGCTCAGATGTTTGATTTATAGTTGGGCAGTCTGTGTGAAAAAATTGGTAATCAGGATTGGAATTAAAGTCCAAATATTATCGCAGTTTTCCGTAAGTCACCCTTTATATTTTTTAGCAGATTAGTACTACTTTGTGCGATTTTGTTCTGGTTTGTGGTAAGCTCCTTCCATCATAAAATATATTCTTTATTTTAGGTATCTATCTTCTGGATTTAATCTACATTGATTCTGCATATCCTGCCTCAGGCAGCATCATGGAAAATGAACAAAGATCCAATCAGATGAACAATATTCTTCGAATAATTGCTGATTTACAAGTTTCCTGCAGCTACGGTTAGTACCCTTGTTGCTGGAATTGTGAAATCTTACCTCATTGAAATTTGGGTCTTATCAATGAGAAAACTCTAGAAACCAGACAAAGAACTACGAAGTTTCTCATTTTAATATCTTGAGCATCAAACATGTACTAGATCCTTTTATACATAAGTTTGATCTTCAAAAGCTGTTCAAACTAGATGTTACTATTTTGGTATTATAGCTGAGGAAACTGAGGCTCTGAAAACAGTTTAGTTACTTGTCCACAATCTCATGTCTAGTGAGTGGCAGAGCCCAGGTCTTTCTGGCTTCTGGCTCATTCGTTCACTCATGAAGAACTTTCTGGGCAGCTCTCCTCCAAGCAGATTCAGGGATCAGGCTTCTTTTGTCTGTGACTCTGCTGTCTCCCATGGCCTCAGAATCCTCCACTGGAGTCTGCATCTGGCTGGCAGATGCAGAAAGAAAGAGAGAACCATACAAGGGTGGGTTTTATGGGCCAGGCTTGCAAGCAGTACAGATCATTTTTGCCAACAGTGGCTAGGAAATATAATCTAGCTGTGGGCCTAGAAGGAGAAGGAAAATGATATGATAAGTGATTGGCCACACCCTTCTGCACGTGGCCAGATCCACAGTGTGCCCATGACTGGGTATGTAAGGGGGATGGAGAAAGTCACTGGAGTTGATGTCAGAATGCTGGATGGGCCATCCATGTGAGGATTGATTTCACCCGAGAAGATGGCAGACTTGGGTGTGTGGCACTTGACTGTGGGCCAAGTGCTCAGGTCTTCCAGGAATTAGCGCTGATGAGCAGGCAGCCAGTCAGCAGAAGTCAGCAGTGAAGGGGGCATGGCACATGGGTGATAGGGCTCTAGGCACCTGCCTCTGAAGAACAAGGTTTTCACGAGAGGGCAGAGGAGTAAAAGTCTTAAAGCACCAAAGAGGGGTGTAGGAAGGAACCCACTGTGCATAGAGTGTGAGAAATCCACAGCCTCCATTTGGGAATATCACAAGGAAGCCAGGGTAGGTTCACTGAAGCAAGAGCGCTGCTCACAAGCCCCTCCACAAGCATCCCCAGGCAAGGTGGGGGTTCTCATACTTCAGAGCAGCTTTTCTCTGACAAAAGGAGTGGGAGGCACCTGAATTCCCAGTACAGGTCTCACCTGGCCCGGGCCCGTTCTACCACAAATACACTGACACCTCTTGTCCCGCTGGACAGCAGAGCAACCACAGACATGGGCTTCGGGGTCAGATGGACTCGGGTTCCTATTCCAGCTCTGTCTCTCGAAAAATCATTTTCTCCCCTTGAAGGTTTTCTCGGGAATGAAAATGGGGAGGTGATTCATGCAGAGCCCTTAGCACGGTCCCTGACATTTCATGAGAGCCCAGCAAATGCTGTCTTACCATTGTTGACCTTCACCTGCGTCATCTCCACCATCAGCTTTGTAATACAGGTGCCACCCTCACTTCAGAGAGAGAACACTGAGGCTTCAGAGAAAAAAAATGATCTGCTCAGAATTTTGCTGTGAAGGCCCAGAGCCATTGGGTGTTCCTGCTGCACCTGGATGCACCTTCCCAGAAAGCGAGGGTCCTCCCCACCCTCTTTTCTGCTCCTCTTCACAGCCTCCTCTACTCCCTCCACCTCTGCTCTTGGCTTGTTCTGTCCCACCCAGTGGCCTTCTCAGAAGGAGTGCAGTGACTGTGAAGATCTGCAGAGAGCAGCTGACACCAGTCACTCCAGAGACAGGCAGCACCATGTGGCAGAAGCCTTCCATCGCTTGGAGTCCAAACCCAGGTTGCCACAGTTTCCTCCTCTGTGCAATGGGTATATTGTTTCTCCCACATGAGGCAATTGTGAAGGTTAACAAAGATGACTCGTATAAAATTACCTGTTGCAGAGCTTGCCATAGGCATGTTTTAGGTGCCTTGGCACCTCCCTTTCTTCCTAGGATGCAACAGCTCCAGTCTTGGGCCAGCTTCTGGGTTGGGCCTCCATACCTGGCTGGACAGGGTCTGTTCATTCATTCTTGCATTCATGTCACACAGCAGGTGGGTAGGTATGGGAGGCTTGCTCAGTTACCCCAGTGGAAACCTGTTTTAGGGCACAGACACCTACCTTTGGTCTGTTCTGGAGGCCAGGGAGCCAGCCATCTTTACCCAGCCCCTGATCTCTGAGTGGAGGTGCAGCTCCTCCTTCCTGACTGAAAAACCATGGTGACCTCAAAGTATGGTGACTAAGGCCCAGCCATCTGGGGGGCACTCCTTGAGGGCAGAACCGAGGCCTGATGAGCCCTCTGTTCCAGTGCCCAACACAGGGCCAGTCCCCAAAGAGCATCAGCAACTGCTGGAAGAGTGAATGAATCTCCGTGTCCCAGGAGCATCTAAAGTCAGTGATTTCCATACTTCTCATTTGGGGGCCTAAAGATGGTGAGAGTCTGAAGTCTGGATTTTGTCCACCTTTTGCAGATCACCTCACCACCTTGCCGCATGTGCAGAAGTACCTGAAGTCCGTACGCTACATTGAAGAGCTCCAGAAGTTTGTGGAAGATGACAACTACAAGTAAGTCTCCACCTACTCCTGTGTCAGTTAGGCCCCCCAGCCCCACTTTTGTCCTTAGCACTCAGGTCCCTGCAAGTAGATTTATCAAAGTCCACTGCAGTAGCGCCCATGCCCCAACACACACTAGCACATGTGTGCAGTGTGATCTCCGACCTCACAGACCCCGCAGTGCTGATGTCTGAACAGCTCTCATACTCACCTCTGCCCCATCCTCACAGCCCCCCCGCCACGTTCAGAGGAAGGTGTTGTGTTAACTTCTCAGTGTGGCTTTCCCATATGGTGTGGATAATATGAACTTGGACTCCACGCTGTGAATAGCACAGGCTTGGTACTCTGGTTCTCACAAGTGACTCCATCACCCACAGTGCTGGGTGGCAAGGCAGCTTCTAGCCATATCTCCATACCAGCAGACAGTTCTCCAAGAGTCTGTTTCATGGATGAGACAGTTCCTTATGACTCTTAGCTCTCTACACGATTCAAGGCCCTACCTCCTTCCCTGTACAGCCCCTGTAGAGTAGATCCAGTTCTCATAAGAACCCCATGGGCCCTCTGGCCTCATCTTCTACTAACCCTGCTGTGGCTTTCAGCTCTTTCTTCATTTGTGGCATCTGGGAATGTATCCAGCATTTCTATGTATTTGGAGGGAAAAGAAGGATTTTTCGTGTTAACTCTTGTCTGCAATACTGCTTGTAAGTCCTCCTGGCTCATTTTCAGCTTGAGATCAACTAAGAACCTCAGTACTTTTTCATATGACTTGATATTAAGGCAAGCCCCAGCCATCTTATAATCAGTCATTTACCACTTAAATGTCAATTTCACATTCACAGATGGTCCGCGACCTGGGATGGTTCAACTTAATGATTTTTCAACTTTACAGTGGTGCCAAAGCAACACACATTCAGTAGAAATTTTACTTTGAGTACTCATACAGCCATTCTGTTTTTCACTTTCAGTATGGTATTTAATAAATGCCATAAGATATTCAATACTTCATTATAAAATAGGCTTTGTGTTAGATGATTTTACCAAACTGTAGGCTAATGTAAGTGTTCTGAGCACATTTAAGGTAGGCCAGACTAAGCTATGCTGTTTGGTAGGTTAAGTGTATTAAATGCATTTTTGACTTGTAATATTTTCAACCTATGATGGGTTTAGTAGGATGTGTCCGCATTGTAAGTTAAGGAGCATATGTATTCTTTTAAATCTTATCTTATGGTTGCTTCCAATATGCCATGATTCCTTGGAATCTTGTTATCCAGTATATTTTTTATGTCTTCCAGTTTTGTTTCTGTTAATTTGATTAGCCAGATTACATGGTCCTCATCTAAGTTAGTGAAAACTATAGAGAACTGTGGCTACAGAGACAACCACCACATTACCCATAATTCACTCACCAGGAAAGATCCTAAGGGGAACGGATGTTCAAGCAGTGCCCTACCTGGTCAGCTCTACAGGAGCATCTGCAGCCTTGTTTGTGAACCAGAGTCACCTGGGAAACTCTCTAACCATCCAGATGTCTGGGTGGGACCTGAAAAGTTGTATTTTTTCAAAGCTCCCAGGGTGGTTCTAATGATCTTTCGGAACATAGACATAATGCTTTTAGTTGTCTTATATAATCATTTGTTAAAATATAATATGAAATTGTGATCTGTTACATAATAGTAACAACAATAGATGAAAGCCACAGATTACCATTAAAATTACGTTCACCACAAATCAAGCTCATTTTATTTATTTACAAAGCATTTGCTGTTCCTGAAAAGAGTGCCCTGTCAGTACAAAATTATTCCCACTTAGTTTCTGGGATATTTCCCATTTAGGCACCAGCATTATGATAAAGGAGACAGTGGTTTTTCATTAACACTAACATGCTTTAGAGAGAAAAAATGGCCTATAAATACTTCTAACCATGAGATAATCTTTGGACAAGCTGCAAATCATGAGTAATTACTCCTTCTATTCTGAAGAACTTTGAACACCCCAGCACCTGATGCTAAACAACAATCAGCCTGGGTTTTTACAGAGGCTCTTTGTTGTGGTCAAAGTTGACAAACCCAGGGAGGAAGCCTGCATTCTTATCCCCGGCCCTCAGACCATCAAGGGAGCTCCTTCCCAGGGAGGTTCTGGCTCCAAGTGGCAAGAGATGGGCAGAGCCTGTGATTCTGCTTGAGGACCCACACTCTGTGGCTCAACTCACACCTGGAGGCTAGCTCCTCACCCACAAGGATGCAATGGCTTAGTTATTGCATTAGTGACATTGCATTGCTGACATCCTGCCCCATCTGCTTTGGAGATATTATGCCAAGAGGTTCAACTGGTGCTTTACTTCCCACAGCCTTTATTCTATTTTATTGTATTTAAGAAAAATTACCCAATTTCCCATTACCTAGAAAGCATGGCCGTTAGCATTAAGTGAACATACTTTTGGACATTTTTCTAGGCATAGAAAATTTATATATATATATATATATGTAGGGAAGGATGGATAGATGGATGGATGCAAGGATAGAATATTAAAATTGGATTATACCACACTGGCTATTTTTAATTTAAAATACTAACTTTAATTTCATTTTAATTTAACCAGAGAAAAACTAAAATAAAATGTGAAAAAAAAAATGCTGCTCTTTAAATAAATATTTATTTACCAAAAGAGAGATTATTTTCTAAAAGAGGCTTCTAAGATTAATAAAAGAGGACTGGGCATGGTGGCTTACGCCTGTAATCTCAGCTCTCTGGGAGGCTGAGGACGGCAGATCATCTGAGGTCAGGAGCTCAAGACCAGCCTGACCAACATGATGAAACCCCATCTCTACTAAAAATACAAAAATTAGTCGGGTGTGGTGGGGTATGCCTGTAGTCATAGCTACTTGGGAGGCTGAGGCAGGAGAATCGCTTGAACCTGGGAGGTGGAGGTTGCAGTGAGCCGAGATCATGCCACCGCACTCCAGCCTGGATGACAGAGCAAGACTCCATCTCAAAACAAACAAACAAACAAAAAACATTAATAAAAGAGGTCAGGAAAAACATTAGGAGGCTTGAGTCAGTAAGTTTAATTTCAACTAGGTTTACATTGTGAATAGTGTCAGCCGACTCTGGTTATGAAAGATGAGAATTAGCCCTTTCCCCCTTCCTTCACCTCCACTTCACCAGCTTCCGACCTTTTCGGTTATAGTATTATTACAACATAGTCCAAGTCTATAACATAAACATGATATTCAGGAATCATAATTCCCACTGTTTAGTATTTTTAAACAAATTCAGTTTTTACCACCTGTTGTTTCTCCACAGCTTCTCCATTCCTGGAGTCTTTATTTTAATCTGTCCCTTATTTAGCTGCATTTCTTCAGGAAGTAGGTCCCCCTACGCTACTCCACCAAAACGATAAAAGTGCTCACAGGCCTGCATGCCCGGCTTTCCCTCAGGGAAATGCCTGCATTGGACTGGGCCTGGCCTTGCCAGCTGCCCTCCTTTGCATTTCTCCCTCAGTGCTGCAGGCCGAGTGCTGTTGACTTCTGGCTTTAGGTGTTGTAGAGAATGAGCCCATCTGACTTTTTCTTTCCTCTTGTTAGGGGACTTGTCTGCCTGGTAGGTGAAGAACTCCTTGAAGTTCAAAAGCTTAATAAGACAATGCCTCAGAGTAGAGGGTTTTCTACCAGATTTCTACAGACCATGGTGTTGTCTTTCTTCATGGCAGAAGAACTCCTTTTGTTTGTATCTTTGACTACTTCTGTGCTATTTCATGGCTTCTCTCCTCCAGGGATTCCAGGAATCCCTGTGTTGGATGCTCTGCCCAGCATATCCATTCACTTCTTTCTAACAGCGGCAGTCTCCACCTTGTTCATCTGCTGTCACTGGAGTGGTCTATTTCTACTTAGGTATTTGTTTGGCACTCTCTTATTTCAGTCCTGGATTTGTTCCCCCTAGGTCTTCAATCTCCTTTTTCATCTCATTCCTTTGTTTTAGCATCTTATTTTCTAGGTTTTGTTTTACTTGTGTTGTTAATAAGTTGTTCCACTGCTCCAAGCACTTGAGGGGATTTCCTCTGCTCCTTGAGCTGCCTTCTCAGTTGGGCCATTGGGCAGTGTTCGCCTGTTCTCTTTCCTTCTTTGGTAAGAGGATGTTGGCTGTATTGCCATACCATTTCTTTTCTTATTGCTCCCATTTGAGAGGCTCTGTCTGGATGTTCCATGGCTCTGATATGAGGGTGGCGGAGATTTCTGGCCATCCTCCTATGTGTGTAAGAGGGGCTGGTTTTCCCTTACTGCTAGCTGGGAGGTCCAAGGATTTTAGTTTTTCTTCTCTTCTGTAACCTGGGGGAGTAGAAGACTCAGGTTCTGTGGAGGCAATAAGCAAGAAGTCTGTTTCACATATGTGAGTTCTGGCAAAAGGCCTATGCTGGAGTTTCCACCTCATTGGGAAGCCGTATCCCATTCCAGAAAGAGATACCCTCAGGTTTCACATCATGCCCCATGGAGGCTTCGTTTCCATCAGAGGATCTTCCATGCTTTCCACCTATTTCCTCAGCATCTGGTGCCATTCAGAAGAGGAAACAATAAGGACCCCCACTCAGACCCAGTGAGACCTCTCAGTGGGCTTGACAAGAGCCATGCCATGATACAACTCTTGGTCCAATTTCAGAATTCTCTTTTTCTTTCCTTGACTGTAATTCTTTGTGTTCATGGCTTTAAATTATGTGCCTTCCCTTGTTTAGTTGCACCTGGTGAGTTCTTTTACTCGTAAGCTTTTATAATTTTTTGTTGGTTTTGGGAGGAGAGGAAGAGCCTGGCATATAGTTTCACTCTGTCATTTTCACCCAGAAGTTCTTAATTGGTGCTTAAAAAATATAGAAGTGCCAGTCCTCATAGCATGTCCAATGCCTTGTCCTTTTTTAAGGGCAGCTGATGACACATAGTGCAGTGTAATGATTAAACACTCCAGTTCGGAGGCCCCGTGCAGTGGCTTATACCTATAATCCCAGCACTTTGGGAGGCCAAGGCGGACTGGTTACTTGAGCTCAGGAGTTTGAGACCAGCCTGGCCAACATGGTGAAACCCCGTCTCTACTAAAAATACAAAAATTAGCCAGATGTGGTTACAAACATCTGTAATCCTAGCTACTCAGGAGGCTGAGGCACAAGAATCGCATGAACCTGGGAGGCAGAGGTTGTAGTGAGCTGAGATCCTGCCAATGCACACCAGCCTGGACAACAGAACGAGACTGTATCACAAAAAAAAAAAAAAGAAAGAAAAAAAAAAAAAACAAAACTAACTCTGGTTCAGAGGAGTTAGACAGTCCTGGGTTTGATCCCCTACTTTGCCACTTGCTAATCCTATGAATTTGGGGAAGCTGCTTAACCTCACCACTTCTCAGTTTCCTCATCTAGAAAATGTACTGGTTCAGAGTGAATACATCTGTACTCAATAGACAGTAGGCCACACTTAACTCCTTTTTACGTTGTCTTTCTTAATGATTGTTTCTTAGCCATGGAAACCCCTGGAGACCTCAGAGGGAAATGGCTATGATCTGGAGCAGATCTCATGGTTTTCCTGGCTCCTGTGACAATAGTAGCCATTTCCAGCCCCAAACAGGTTCCCATGTGGTAAACCAGAACCCGTCTGATCTTATGAAAATCTTTGTTTTCAGATTGTCGCTCAGAATCGAACCAGGAAGCAGCTCTCCAAGACTAGTCTCTTCCAAGGAAGATCTTGCAGGTATCGTAGCTACCTCGAGTGGGAGCAAACCCACTAATAGCCTAATTGTGGCTGCCAGAGTTGGCCTTGACTGGGGAGCCCAAGGGCAAGTCAAGTTTGCAGCTTAGCAGACTCAGCTATCCCTGTTCATAGCCCTCCTGCACCAACCTGCCCAGGCTCCTGATCATGTGGGACTTCTGTGGTTCCCCTTTGTACTGGGCTCCCTGGAAGAGCCTGGGTGTTAGAGCCTGGGCCTGAACAGCCTCAAGAGAGGCAGGATCAGAGCCCCAAGTTGGGAGCACACACAAGGTAGAGAAAACACTAGCAACTTCTCCAGGCTCTCTGGACCCTTAGCGGGGCTGCTGCTCAAGCTTGGTTTTATGTGCCCTGGAGGTGGGTATGGAGGATGCCCAAGGTATTTGGTGCCACCAGATACAAGTGGCTCATCAGACTTGTGAAACACACACACACACACACACACAGTCATCAGACTTGTGACACACACACACACACACACACACACACACACACACACTCCCGTAGTGATTTGAGCCCAGGCTTTGCAGTCAAGCCCAAGCTCCGCTGTTACCTGGCTTTGTTGCTTTACCTCTAATCTTTAGTGGCCTCATCCACAGAATGAAGGCCATATGAGGACTCACCTTCTCAGGTTATTGTGATGCCTGGGTAAGCTCATGCCTGCCTGTAAAGTGCTCTGCTCATACTGACATGGTGAAAACACGCTCAGTGTTGGCTGCTTTGTCGTTATTATTTAATGGTTACCTCTTACCCATATTCCAGCCAACTCAGTGACAGGAGCTGCCCAGGGGGAGTTCTGAGGGGTCGGGGTCGAAGGGAATCCAAAAGCACTTCATCCCCCTGGTTTGAGCTCTAGGTCGTACCACCCTGGGTTCTAGGCCATTGCTGTCTTGGGCAAGGGACTTAACCCTTTTGGGCCTCGTTTTCTTTTTCACCTGTAAAATGGGATGATGAAACCTTCCTGCCAAGAATGTTGGAATGTCAAAAACAAAATACTATTTGGAAGGCACTCAAGAGTCTGACATGCAGTATTTGTAAGAGGGTGGCTGCTGCAGGCTGCTGGGGGCCACACTTCCCCTAGCCCATTGACCTGCTCAAGCCACTCTCCCCACTTGCTAGTGCCAAGCCAACCTCTGTGACAGCTCCTAGTGGGCACAGAGCCACAGAGCCCATAGGGCCGTAGCAGCCTCATGAGCCCTACCCAGTAAGGCTCTGCCCTGATTCCCGGGGGGACTCCGGGCTGCTTGCCTTTTCCAGCCTCTCCTGGCTCCAATGTGCGAGCTGGACCTTGCCTCTAGCACCCCTGGGGGCCTCTGGTAACTTAGAGGGACATGCTGGTTGATTCTCAGAGCCTTTGGAAATGCTGTTATCTATACCTCAAGACAGTCCTAGTGGAAGCTTGATTTTCACATGGTTTCCATGAGCCCAATATTAAAATATTTCTTGCAGTCTTCCAAATTCATTGCCTTCCATATGTGGCAGATTACCTCCAGCAAGGTGGCCAGAAGGAAAGCTCCTGGTGCTGGTCTTATCTCTACCTTATCATCTCTGCCGTTCTAGAACACCTTCCCCCTCTCAGTCAGCATTGTTCCTTTCAGGTGCTCAGTCACCTACACCTGACCTGTGGCAGGGGAGGAGGAGGGAGCAGGGCAGGGTTCCTATCAGAAGATTGTAGGAGACAGCAGCAAAATCCTAATGCAGTTGTTTAGGGCTACAGAAGGAACTCTAGCGAAGACCAGCCTATTGCTTCTGGAGATAGTGCCAGAATTCTGGAGCAGAGTGAAAGTGGTGGTCTGTCCTTCTGAGTCCCCTCCAAATTAGTGTGAATAAGAGGCCTGTTTAGCCTTTGCAGCCGCTTCAATTCAAAGCCTTAACAGGATGAGCCACATCCCTGGACTTTTCTAAATGCCAAGAAGTCTCCATGCCACACTTGCTGCCCTCGCTGTTTTAAGGCAGATGGAATACTCATCTCCAAGTGCCCCTTCCTGCTGCCTGATTCCATGCTGGAGCCACTGAGCAGAGAGAGATGGGAGGGCCTAGGGTCATGGCACAGGGATGGTGTTCGCCTTGGCGTGAGCTACCTCTGCCTCTCCCTAGTGGCTCTGTCCATCCACAGCCCAAACTCTAGCCTCACTTCTGCCTGAGAGTAGCAAAGCCTCTGTAAAGTTCTCGTCCCCAGGCCCTTCACTCGAGCCTTAGACATTATTCCACTAGTGGTCTGTTCCTCATCCTGTTAGGCTCAGGGTGGTCTTTATTTTAGCTCTTTGCTTCTTTATGGCACTCACCACAACTTGTCATTATTCTCTGTCTGGTCACTGGGCCCAAATCATTCCTGGTTGGATCTTCACCACCTGGTATTATGCCTGCCCTTTGTAAATGCTCAAATTTTGTAGGGTTTTTGGAGGAGAGGATAAATGGGTGAGTGGGTAGGTGGATGAGGAGCCAGGATGCAGCTCTGGGTGGGCTTCTGGCCTACATTGGCCCAAGCATGGAGGGGGTCCTGTTGCTGCAGCCTCATGACTGAGTCTCAGAGGGCCCCCTCCTCCCTGGTGCCTCCACCCTTACCTCCAGCCCAGGCCCTGATCTGCCAGCCTGGCCCTCCCTAGCACCAGCCATTCAACACACCTGCAGGCTGCTTCCTGCCAGGACGATGGCAACAGAGGCTTCCCCTCCTGACCCAATTGGTCCCTTCACTTCACCAACATCTGCACCACTATCTCCTCCCTGAGGCTCTGCCTCAGCCTCAGCCCCCAGCCCAGGTCTGTGCTGAGCAACACTGACTCCCCTTGCTAGGGTTAGGGAAGAGACCAGGGGGTTGCAGACCTGGAGCAGGCTCAGAAAACTAAAAGTGTGAATTAGGGACCTCAAGAATGGAGTCACTCACTGGGTCCTGGTGCAGGAGACACTGCCTTTCCTGGTCTCTTTTGACCCCTGGCTGTCCTGGAACTCAGCCGGGGAGCCAGGAGCCAGCCCTGGCCCAGCCTCCTCAGATACAGCCAGACTCTCCTTTCCCACCATCTACCCGTACCTCTGCTTGGCTCTGTTGTTTATTAGCCATGTGAGCCAAAAACCAGCAAGCCAGCTACCCTTCCAGCATCAGAGCCCTGGCAGGGGACAGAATGGACCCCAGATGGTTCACATGAAGAAACTTTAATGAACAGAACCAATAAGCATGGCGCAGGACCCATGGGGCGGCCCAGCATCCTGGGGAGGATGGGGTCCTAGGCTGAAGGGCATGGGGAAGAAGTGTTAACAACCCCAGGGATGGCTGAGTTCTGGAGGATGGTTGGCTGTGCAGGGTCTGTGGGCAGGGAGGGGGAAGCAGGAAGGGAGCAGAGAGAAATCCCTGACCTCTCTCTCCCCTAACCCCCAGGCTGCTGCCAGAGCCTTTCACTGGCCAAACCCGATAGGAAGCTGGGGACAAGGGGTCCAGGAGATGTATCTCAAGGGACAGCCTTCCCTCACCAGAAGTGGCAAGTGGGCAGGACAAAGAATACCACTGAATTGTGCAAACAGACCACCCAGGATACTCAGAAGCCTCAGTGTCTCCATCTGTAAAGTGGGCATAAAATCTCCCTCCTTCATAGGGCTGTGTTGTTAGCACAGTGCCCAACACAGAACACACATTAGGTGGAACTTTATCATGGTGATATGATTATCATAATTGTCGACCTCGTGATTCTGCCTCCATCACTGAATCAGCCGGCAGCTTTTAGCTAAACATCACTGCCTCGGGGAAGCCTTCTCCCTACCATCACCCCCACCCCTGATCAGGTCAGGCCTCGTAATACCAGGCCCTCACAAACTGTGGGACAAATCTGCCCCCTGTTTTCATATGGGCATAGCCACCCCCTGTTTGGTTGACATATTGCCTGTGGCTGCTGTCACACAGCAGTGGCAGAGTTGAGTGGTTGAAACAAAGACCCTGTGGCCTGCAGAGCCTGAATTATTTACTATCTGATTTTTACAGGCACACACTGACCCCGGCTCCTTCCCACAGCTAGCCCTCATGCCCTTCCGTGGCAGTTCCCTCTGCAGTAATGGCACGGTTATCTGTGTGCTTATTTGTCTGTGTCTGTCTTCCCCACCAGACTGAAAGCACCCTGAGCCCAGCACAGAAATCTCGGGGTCACCTGTCCTTACGCCGTCAGCCACAGCCTCCAAGCTGCCCACAGGGCCCTGTAGGCACCTGGTCCTCGGAGGCAGCTCCAGAGTGGGCCGACTGCTGACTCGGCACAGCCTTGGGAGAAGTGCTGATGCCGGCAGTTTTCCACAGCAGAGCGAGCCCCAGCTCGTAGGAGTGTTTTCAACCAATTTTCCAAATCCCTGGCTTCAACCCTGGAAGCAGGATGTAAAGGTTTTCATTGATCACCAGAGTGTCTAGGAGTGCCTGGAAGGCTTCAGACACACTCAGTGGTCCCAGCTTCCCACTATCAGCCTCAGAAGACAGAGCAGATGCTGCTGTACCTGTGGTGCAGCCCGGGGTCCTGGGGAGGGTGGGGCCAGAGGGGCAGCTCCAGGGAGGCCTTTCTGGACCTGGCAGTCAGACTGAGCTGCGTGGCAGGAGCCTGACCAGACTCAGGGACAGGAATGTGCCTCTTGCAGTCCCAGGAATTGGAGGAACACAGGCTCCTCAGGAGGGGGTTTAGACTCCAGCTTGGTGCTCTTTACAGTAGGCACACCCCCCTGCACCTGCCAAGGAGAGGCCCTAAGACATGCTCATTCATTCATTCACCCAAGACTTACAGGCCAAGGTCTTTCTATGAGCCAGGTGCCCAGTGAGAGAAGGCAAGAACATGCCCCCCAGAGCTCACATTTGAGTGGGGGAAACAGCCAGCAAAAGCTGCAAGGGGCAAGGACTGGCACGCTGAGGAGCCGAAAGGAGGCACTAGGTCCGAGACGAGCGTGGCCGGGCCCTCTTCTAGGCAGTGCCTGTGCCTGTACCCAGCCCACCTGTCCTCGCATTGACAGCGGCCCAGGTCTTG